ACCCCCAAAATACTTTTTACCAAAAAGAAATATATATATATCACATGATATATTTGAAAGGTAGAAACTGCTGAAATACCTGACCACCACCCCACCCCCAGCCTTGGTTTGAAACCCACATTGATGATGTTAACATTTTCTAAAAAGCTCACTTAAACTCAAGAAGGAAATTATTTTCATCATAGTCAACACACCACCAACGTTTTCTTTCTAGATACATTTACTGTCTCTATTAAGCACATCATATGTCCAGCACTAGAGAAAAGACACATATTCTACCCATTTTCACTAAGACACATAGAGTCTCTACATAACTAGACTATTGTATTAGTTCCATCTTTTAAAATGTGTGACTATTTCTGGTTTCTCTGTTCTGTTTCATTGATCTATGTGTCTGTTACTCCACCAATACCACATAGTCTTGATTGTTCTTAGTATATTAGAAATCTTGAGATCATGTGGAGTGATTACAACCACTTTATTATTTTTCAGATATTTTAGCTCTTCTAGTCCCTCTGCCTTTCCATATCAATTTTAGAATTATCTCATTTGTCTACAAAATATCTTGATAGGAAATGCTTTAAATCTATATGTCAATCTGGGGTGAATTGACATTTCTATATTGTGTCTTCAAAGCAATGAATATGGTATGTTTTTCTTTTTATTTAGGTCATCTTTGATTTCTCTCATCAGCATTTTGTGGTTTTCAGCATAAAAGTCCTGTCCATATTTTGTTAGCTTTACACATATTTCTTATACCTTTTCTTTTTTGAGCAATCATACGTCGTATTGCATTTCAAATTTTTTTCCACGTGTAAATTGCTAGTATAAAGAAATGTAATAGGGGGCTGGCCCAGTGGTGCAAGTGGTTAAGTGCGCGCATTCCGCTTCGGCAGCCCGGGGTTCGCAGGTTCGGATCCTGGGCACTCACCGAAGCACTGCTTGTCAAGCCATGCTGTGGCAGTATCCCATATAAAGTAGAGGAAGGTGGGCATGGATCTTAACCCAGGGCCATTCTTCCTCAGCAAAAAGTGGAGGATTGGCAAGGGATGTTAGCTCAGGACTGATCTTCCTCACAAAAAAAAAGAGAGAAAAATGTAATAGATTTTTGTATGTTCTTATGTCTTGACACCTTGCAAATTTTACTTTTTCTAGAAATTTTTGTAGATTCCCTTGGATTTTCTACATACACCATTTTCTTTTCTTTTGCTGCTGTAACAAACTACCACAAACTGAGTGGCTTACCAACAAAAATTTATTCTTTTACAGTTTTGGAGATTAGAAGTGTAAAGTGGATCCACAGCACCGGGCTCCTTCTGGATACTCCAAGTGGGAATTCATTTCCTTGCCTTTCCTGGGTTTCAGAGGCCACTTACATTCTTTGCCTCTAGTCTCCTTCCCCTAACTTCAAAGCCAGCAAACTAGCATCTTAAAATCTCTTTATCTCAGTCCCTGTGCTTCCATCATAACACTAACTTCTTGATGACTCTAACTCTACCCGCATCCTTCTTATTTTTAAGGATCCTTGGGATTATATCACATTTACCAGATCATCCAGGATAATCTCCCATCTTACTATCATAACTAGATCACATTTCCAAACTCCTTTTAACATTTAAAGTAACACTGTATAAAGATGAGGACATGGATATCCTTTGAGGGTGCATTATTCAGCCTACCAGAGTCATAGCTGTCTTCTGTAAATGGGTACACTATTATACCTTCCTGTCCTTTAGCACTTTTATTTACTCTTCTTCCCTTATTTCACTGGCTACATCTTCTAATACAATGTCAAATAGCAGTGGGTAAGAGTGGACATCCTTGTCTTGTTCCCAATCTCTGGGAAAAGTATTCAGTCTTTCACCATTAAGTATGATTTTGCTGTAAGTTTTTGTAGATGTCTTTATTGAGTTGAGGAAGTTTCCTTCTATTCTTAGTTTTCTTAAAGTGTGTATCATAAATAGGTATTCAATTTTGTCACTTTTTCTCCATGAATTGATAGGATCATGTGTTTTTTTCCTTCAGTCTGTTTACATTGTGGATTAGATTGATTGGTTTTTGAATATTGAAACAGCCTTCTGTCCCTCAAATAAACGC